TGCCTTCATCTCCAGCAGGGTGGACTGCTGCAACTGCCTCTAATCTGCTCTTTCAAAAAAGACCATTAAAACAACTTCAGCACAGTCAGAACGCTGCCACCAGAGCTGCAACAACAACTAAGAGAACAGAGCATAAACTTTTGCACCCTTCAACCAATTGCAAGAAACATCTGGGCATTGTACATTTCTACAAATCACAGATACATTATGTTTGCATTATAATTAGCATAAAATGCACGTTTCAACAACACTATTGTTAACGTGTGGTAAGGTTTAGGCACAAAACCACATGTGTGGTTAGAAAAAGCTCATGTTTTGGCTCAAAATACACAGTTTTGGGGGCACAATCCCCGCTGGAAACGCAGCAATGTCTCAGTAAAAAACAACCGCTTTTGTTGTTCGTTGGTCTTGAACAGTGGTCTGCAGTTTAGCAGGCGTCCCACCATCCACCATCCCCTCTATCAATTCAAATAAAGAAATTTAATTAAAAAAAAATAAGTAAATAAATAAAATAAACGACCCGAAACACAATTAATGTCCAGGTATAGTTTAGTAATAAGATAACCTGAACTCAATAAGTGCAGTGCATGCATCAGTTAATCAAAGGAATCCGAGTTTTACATTTAAATTTTAAAGTTGCTTAAGCTGGGATGCGTTTAAGATCATCTGGACGTTGCCTTTAACCTTGTGCTGCATTATAGCTAAAAGCAGCTTCATCTTAGTCTGGCCCTCACCGATGCACCCTTCCTACCCAGGGGGCCGCACTAACTGAGGCATATTAAATGCCGCTGTACGCAACTGGATAGCACAATAGCCAATCAGAGCAACAAACAAGGTGACGTATTCATTGCACTAAGCCCCATTGGATTGCCGACCAGTGGGGCTAACTGATGTATTATGCTTTTGCATAACAGCAAATACGTCCTTCCTGGAAACGAAGGCTTCTAGGGCAGTCTTCTGTTCCTCTCTCATGGGAAAAGATAAGTGTAGTTGGCTTAGCGTTTCTTCCAGAGCTAAATTGAATGGACACGGTCCTTCGGCAGCTGCCATCTTGGCTGTTTACTTTTAGACTCCTACAGTGCAGTGTTGTCCTCATCATGTTACGCCCGCCCAGAGCCCGCCTCTGTCAGATAGACTGATCTGATTGGTCCGATGGCAATTCAACGGGCTCTGCTCGTCGGGGCCACATCCCCATGCAGAGCAAATTCGAATTTGCTAGGGGCGGGGCATCTGGATTTCCAGGTTAGCTTCATCTTGTTTGGTTCTGAGATCAGAAATCTGCTTAGTGTACATTTCTGCAAACCATGTATGTTATATTTCATATGTATCATATTAATGTTTCCAAAGTGATATAGTATATGAGGTGACTTTGTCATCAGGAAGTGGAGGGTGGTGAACTGGTGAATAGCGTAACACTGAGGTGAGACGCCTACGAAGCTGCAGGCCACTGTTTGAAACCAACAAACAACAAAACCAGTTGTGATTTAGCTGTGTGGCCAGCAGCTTTTTGAACACCAAATCTGGGTGTTTTTTAGCAGCTAGTGTTTTCAGCGGGGATAGTACCTTGAAATCTGGGTATTTTAAGCCAAAACATGATCTTTTCGTAGCTGTAACAAAGTCGTTTTTGTGCTTAAATATAACCTACTTAATAACGTAAAAATGGAACCTATCTGTGGTGTATTGAAACGTACAATGCCAACATTTTTTTTGCCAGTTGGGCTGGAAAATGACACTATGAGAGCACTGAGAGTGAACCAGAACAGTAAAGTTGAGGACCAGACAGAAAACCTGTGAGCTGAGACTCCCTATACAGCTCAGTACAGCTGAAAAATATTGATTGTAGCCTCACATAAAGGTGCTACACAAATAAAGTTGCAGTGTCTTGCCTTGATTTTGTTTTTTGTAAACCTCAGTAAAGGGTGAGCATCCACAGTGACCTGCCTTGCCTTGAATCAAACACACTATCTGACTAAAGCACATACAGGAAGCAGCAGCAGCGACCCACAGTCTGACACCGGCACACCTTGAGGATAGAAACAGAGGGCTCAGCCTGCCACGTACGTGCCGCAGCAAGCGAACATTTTGACTCATTTTGACTTGACCAGCGGGCTTCACTTCAGCTGATTGACTGTAGAAACAGGTAACATGCTTTACATTCTAAAACCAGCTACCAGTGATTTAACCAGCTGGGGTGCAGGTTCACACCAGTTCACACCACTGCAACTTTTCTCTGCAAAGTTCTTAAACCATTTCCTCCCATCACAAATCATTGGTCTGAACCGGTCTTTAGAATGAGCTGTTTATATCTACATAGGGAGCAGGTCCTCGTCTGCCAAGATCACCATGTTGCACTGCCATGTTTCTACAGTAGCCCAGAACAGACAAACCAAACACTGGCTCTAGATGGGGACACTGTAATTTTTGAGTTAGCCACTGTAGTTAGCAGCCCCTCTGAGACAAGAACATTGGAGATGCACTGATTTGTAAACATGAAGCTTTATTCCGGGTTTTTACCTGTTTAAATCACCTGGTCTGTTTGTTCTGGAGAGGAAGAGACCTCAGTTCCCGGTCCTAACCTCCTGAACAATGACCAGTGAAGGTATTCTAACCAGGATAAGTTTTAGCTGGTTGAAATCTGCAATCCTCACTGTGAGATGCAGCTAAATACCCCTAAATCTGACACACACTTTCTTTGATCAGTGGTAAATTAAGGTAAAATAGCAGCTAAGACTTTCTGGTATTTAAGTCCCTTTGTGTGAATATAAATCTAAGGAGAGCTGCAGTACATATTTTTAAATGTTTTCAAGAAACAGCTCAGCAAGAATTTTCTCAGCTGTTCCATTGAAACCAGGACAGCTTTTGTCTTTTGTGAATATGGCGTTTTCCTGAGAAAGAATCTAACATGGAATGGAATCAAAATAGCCCAATCTTTAGGCTACTATTCTCTCCTCACTGGGGGGGATCTTACTTTCACACCCAGTCTGGAGACCTGAAGGTGTCCATACTTTTGCAAACATTCAAGGTGAGAACAGGCTACACAACTTTAATGATCTGAGTCTGTCTCACAATTTACCATGATCATCTTTTTTTCTGTATCTCTAACTGCGACCCACGATGAAAACATCTGGAATATCATGGAACACTCCACTTACAGTCCAACAAGAGCATAAAAAAGGTTTGCTTTCTCAACTATAATCAATCTTTTGGTGTATTTCGTATAAAGCTCTCTCCATTATACATGTAAGGACTGAGTTGCTGTTGATGCTAAAAACCAAGGGACTGGTTGCACAAAACACCTTAAGTTTTTTCTTTAAGTATGACACTTAGAGCTTCATTTCTCCTTAGCTGACACAGCTGAACAAAATCCCTTGAAAGGTTTTCTTAGCTGAGGAAAATGTTAACCCATTCACTGTATTGAGGGAGATTTTATAGCAATAAAACTTCCCATGGAGATTGTTTGTTTGGACTCACGCTTGTGATGTCTGATTTCATCTCACAAAGTCGGCTTATATTAGATGGTGAAAAAAATGGCAGAGGAAAAGAAGAAAAGAAAACCACATTGGTCAGAGGAGGAGAAGGTAATACTTCTAGAGGATTACGATCATAGAAAGCACAAACTATGAAGTAAATTTGATCGCTAAAAAAACAGAAAACGACTGTAGGAAGAAAGTGCGACAAAATTTAATTCAGTCAAATCTAAAGTGTAAAATCAGAACACTCTTCTCGTCTCATTTGTCACAATAAACTTGTTCCAGGGATTCCGTAAGTGTAAGACCAAGACAAGGAGAAAAACAAACACTTAGCCTTCAGGAGTAGACTTAAGGGTGTTTTGTGCAACCAGTTTTATTTTGAGGAAACCTTAACCAGGACTAGTGTCAATTTTATTCATAGGACCTTCCTTACTCATTCATCGTCTGCACCTTGTGCTCAGATGGACTTACAGGGACTTTCATGCATATGTACTGACAATGCCAGGATGTGAGGCTTTTTTGGAGCAAGGTGTGTGCTAGTCTATCTGATGTGTGATGTACATGTGCCATGTTGTCCCACTGCGCTAGTGTGAAATGGTACCTCCTCCTTAAATTTAACGTGTTTGAATAGACATGTTCTTCTATTTCATTATTTTTTCTGTCTTCTGTCTGATGTTGTTCAGGGAGCTTGTTATTAGTTTTCCTTTTTTACCATTTGAGGTGGTTTAGTGAGAAATTTGAAATTCAATCAACTTTAATCATAAAAAACATGTTTGAACAGATGTGCTCTCCTAACGGGCATCACTGCAGCCAAAAAGATGCTGGCTCTATGTTGGAAATCTCCTCTTACAGTTACAAAAGCTCAATGGATCGACACACATATAATTAATATATGTATATGATATGCATGGTGCTAGCTTGTGCTATGCTTGTTTATATTTGAAGACAATAAAATAAAATAAAAAAGTTAAAATAAAATATTAAAGTTAATCACAAAAAAGCATCAACAAGTAGCCAACAGTGTCTACAACACTTAAAACAGCTCCACCTCTAACAGCCACAACAGCAAAAGTCTTACATATTCATGCATTAACAATAATAATTCATTCACATAATGTATACAGTAATATAACTCTGACAGAAGCCAATCTGAACACTATGAGGAGCCTATATTTTAATGGCACTTTTACTTTAAACGTGGAGTATTTTTATATTCTGGAAAATCACTAATCTAACTTTGATACAGGACCTCAGTACTTTATCACCACTGTCCATCATGTCTGCAGAAACACTCAGTGATGCTGCAGCAGCTGAGATGCTGTCACTGTTACTTAAGATCTGGACGCGCCGCCTAATCACACACATGTCACGTGTTCCTTATGATTGATGATTATTCAATTGGGATCATTAACAATTAAACGATCCAAAACGAGTAAAAGGTTGATCAAAGATGGAGCCAGTGTATTATCCACGGCGCAACAAAGGATAAAGGCAAATAAATTTGAGAGATGATGTAAAAGATTTTCTTACTTCATCTTCCTCAGGCTCAGCTGTCGGTGTATGTCTGCAGAAGTTGCTCGTGTCCTCGCGGAGCCTCCGGGCAGGTGCAGGTGCAGGTGCAGGTGGATCTTTGTGTCTGTGTTCCGACCGAAGGTCCTTCAGCAGCCTCTCAGAGCTGGAGCGACACAGGAGCTTTGACTTGTGTCCGTATCGACCGCCGCGAGCAGAGGAGGTGAAGAGAGGAGAAACTGAGCAGAGGGCAGTGTTTAAAGACCTGCACCTCCTCCTCCTCCTCCTCTTCCTCCTCCTCCTGCTGCCTGGAAAATCATAATCCTGCTGAGGTAGAGGACAGGCTGAGAGACGAACAAATGGAAGGTGCTAATCAATCATTTTGATATTTTCTGTTCATATATGTGGAGCTAAGTGGGCTACAGTTTATGCAGAACTCCCCAAAGTAATCTGATATAATGAGGTGTGTTGTGCATTGACCTTGAAGTGCCCTATTTTAGGTTCAAGAATAAATCACAATTAAAGCGGCAATAGGGGATTTTTTATGGCCACCAGGGGGCAGAGGGGCAAACAAACAGATGCCAATTTACAACTCCAGCAGCAATGTTAGCATTCATTAGCAGACGTCTGTTTCTGTCAACTTACTGTAAAACATAAACAACAAGGAAGAAAAAAAATAGACGTTTACACATAATTGTGCTGGTTAGCTATCGCATTTTGCAATTTTGTGGCTTATAATTTTAAAGGTAAGGTCTCAAAATTAACACCCATCAATATTAGCTCAAAATAACAGGGTCTTTATTGTGGTAACTTGATTTTATTCACATTTCTTTCCACCTTCATTTAGTAAGTAAGTAAGTAAACTTGTATTTATATAGCACCCTTCATAGTACGCGCAAACAGAGTGCTTAACAGTACAAACAATAAAACCACAGTTTAATCAGTCACAATAAACATGCAACTGAAACATTCAAGAAAACATACACACAATGCATATGGCAATGCAAGGTCAGTGCATGTAGAGTAATAAAATACACAAATAAATAAAATTAAAAATAGAACATGATCACATGGCACTGCAGAGCCAGAGGAAATAAGGTAGACAAGCTGAGAGAACAACAGAAAGCGGCATATAAAACAGTGGATACGGCCTAAGGGGGCGATCACACAGAAATGAGACGCTAGAGACGCGGACGCTTCAAAGATGCTTGAAACGCTGGAAGCGCTTATTCAATGCGCGCTAGCTACTGCCGTCTGATGCTCAAAAAGTTGAAAATTTTTAACTTTTCAGCATCTACGCCCATCTAAAAACGCGTCTAAAAAGACGCTGGAAAAATGGCCATCTAAAAAGATGCTTGAACGCCAGTCAGACGCGCCATATCATAGGAAAACAATGGTTTTACTGGCGTCGCATTTCTAGCGTTTCATCTCGGTGTGATCGCTCCCTAACACTCAAAAGCTAGTCTGTACAGGTGAGTCTTTAACTGTCCCTTGAAACTATTCACTGACACTTATCCTGCTGGGGGTCACAGGGGGGGCTGGAGCCTATCCCAGCAGACACTGGGTGCGAGGCAGGGTTCACCCTGGACAGGTCACCAGACTATCACAGGGCTGACACATAGAGACAGACAACCATTCACACTCACATCCACACCTATGGACAATTTAGAGTCACCAATTAACCTGAATGTCTTTGGACTGTGGGAGGAAGCTGGAGCACCTGGAGGAAACCCACGCTGACACAGGGAGAACATGCAAACTCCACACAGAAGGAACCAGAAACCCTCTTATTATAAGACACCATAATGAGATAAAGTCTTCAATTTATTAATTGCTCCATTATTGAATACGCCTCAGTAGATCTCGACAACCCAATCGCCAGAGTAAATGCTGGCATTGTACGTTTCTGCAAACCACAGATATGGGACATTTGTACGTTATTATGTTGTGGATATGTTGAAACTTTACACTTCAACAATGGTGTGGTTAACGTGTGGTTGTGTTTAGGCACCACAACCACTGTATTATGGTTAGTGTAAGATCATGCTTTGGCTTAAAATACCTGGTTTTTGGTGCCTCATCCCGGCTGGAAATGCCACTTACAATTTTGGTGGCACAATCGCTGCTGGAAATGCCTCTCATGTCCTGCTAAAAGCCAACCAATATTGATGCCGCAATCGTGGCTGGAAATCCTGCTGACTTCTTGCTAGAAAGACCCACTTTTGGTGACATAATCACGGCTGGGAATGCCGCCAATGTCTCAGTAAAAAGCCACCAATTTAGTTGCCATAGTAACAGCTGAAAATGCCACCTGTGACGCTCAAATACAAACAATTTTGGAGCCATCACCTGCATTTGATGCCCAAATTACAGCTGGACTTGTCTCAGTCTTGCTAAAAAAAAACATTTGGTTTTGGTGCCACAATACAGCTGGAAATGCTGCTGTTGTCTTGCTAAAAAAACAACCAATTTTGATGACACAATCATGGCTGGAAATGCTTATGTCTCGCCAAAGAACACCTGGTTTTGGTGGCACAATTGCAACTGAAAATGCTGCTGATGTTGTACTAAAAATAAACATGTATTGGTGCCACAGCCACAGCTGAAATTGTGGCGTGTGTCGTGCTAAAAACAAACTGCTGATGTTGATATGATACGTATAAAATGTAGAAAATGTAACTAATCTGTGTAGGCATAAATGTACAGTGCCAACATTTTCTTCTTGCAACTGTGCTGGTCTCCACCAACTCTTAAGAAAAATCTGTCTCTTCAGCTTTTTAGAGCTTTGAATATGAATCTTGGAATTGACAACAGTAGAAAATGTATTCAGTCCCGTTGGTTGAATCTGGACATGGCAAAAGCATTTTAAAACATGTTGTTCTTTTCAGTAAACCTGGTCTGAAACATCCATCAAAGCCAACTGGTGTCCCAGAAAGACAGCACAGAGACTTTTAATTCCTCCTCTGCAGTTTTCATACGTATAAGAAAGAAAGACAGCACAGAGACTTTTAATTCCTCCTCTGCAGTTTTCATACGTATAAGACTCTTTGTGTTTCTGTATATGCTGATCCTGCTTCCACCCCACACTGTGCTCTCGTATGTACTGTATGTGTAAGGTTAACTGCCAATGTGCAAAATGGACAAATTCCTGATGGCTCAGCAGTGGGTAATAAAAGCCGAATTATGCACATGTGGTCGTTGCTGGGCCATGACTAATATGATGTGTGCATGGAAAGGGTAATCTGCAGAGTCAAGCTCCCAATAACTTGACCCAGGGGGTAATAAAATCCATGAAATCCATAGTGTATTGCCTAATGAGACTAACGGCACTCTTTCATGTATTTCAAGGACTTATTAATACAGCAGGTGAACACTTAATCTTCTTTCATTTCAAATGTCAGGAATAGAATTTAAATCAATAACGTGGAGGTGCATTTAACAAAGGTCTAAATTACAAAAAGGATCAGTGAGTCGAAAAGATGTTTCTCATTTTCATGTTATTTGGCCTCAAAAAATGAAGGAGAAAATCTTGTTTTTGACATGTTAACACACCCACAGAAGAAAATCCAAAGCCTCTTTTGGTTTTAAAGCTCTAGCTTTTACTTATGGAGCTAATAACAGGGCATCAAATCAAATTACTCACATTATTGCCCATGCACAAGGAGATTTAGGAGGGATAAGCAGTATGGTTTAATCTAGACTTAAATCACATGTTGCTTTGCAATATTTTTTTGCTCAACCTTGTCTGTGGCCCAAAGTATGAAGAGGTCCAAGGTTACTTGGTGACTGAAGGGCTTCACATGATGACTAAAGGCCTCAGGATGGTTCAGGTAAAGTGTGTCTGATCTTCAAGATGAACTGAGGAGGGCTGTTCCACAATATTTGTAATTTTCTGAAACACACTGTGACAATCACGTCTACTTTATGCAGCAATTATCCAAGTGTGCAGAGGTGATCCTGGATGTTTTATATTAACAGGGTACTGGATTTAAAGAAAGCAACCAAGCAGCGAACTCTGGCTGAAAAACTGCAAGTCAATCCCCATAGACCCCTGTGTTAAATGCCCAACTTTACGGCAGAATTAACAAGCAACATGCATGTTTTTGCTGATATTACGTGATTGCACCTGAGCGAGGAAAGAAAAGGTAGGACTGAGGAATAAGGATGACAGGACACTCCCGTCTCCCCTTGCATTACCTTCCCTAACCTTCCCCTTGATGTAGAGAGATACAGTGAATTTAACTGTATGTTGTGGGGTGTATGTAATGCAAAGTGTCTGGTTGTTTGCATGATATGGGGTGCTCTCGGGTGGTGGGCATGTGCACAGAACTGTATATGGAGTCTACTCAGCACATGATCACCCTGCTGCTTATTGGATTCAGTGCAGCTGCAGCCTTGTTAAAAACACCTGTGCACTGTATGGGTGAAAAATGGCCACGAGTGTGACAGTCTGTCTGGCGTTGCTGAACTCAGATTCACTCCTCGCTATCCCAGAGCTCTAGCCTGGAAATCCAGACCCAATCCAGACAGATTTAGGGTCTGGCTATGAGTAATGCAAATGGCCCAACTCAAGGGGCGGCACCAAGCATGCATTTGAAAATATCATTGCATGCCATTGGCTAACACTACGACCAATCAGAACAATACACGGGGTGACGTATCCAGAGTTTAGCTACCAGCGGAGCTAACTGGTAGATTAGACTCTTGCCGTATCCGGTCAGCAAAACAGCAAAAACATCCTTCTTGCAAAGGAAAGATTTGAGCGCCGTCTTCTGTTCCTCTTTTAGAGAAAAAGCCAAGTCTAACTCGTTCATTGTAGCGGCCAAAGCCATTTCAAACAACTGGTGTTCATCTGTAGCCATCTTGCAATGTTTACTGACTGATTCCGGACATCGTCGTCACAGCGCTGTCGTCATCTGTTTAGCTCGCCTCTGGCCCGCCTTTATCAGATACACCGATGTGATTGGTGCAGCTCAGCTCCAACAGCATGGGTAATGAGCATCATTACTGATTGCCAGAGTGACTCGCTGAGCAAATTCTAATTGTGCTCTCGCGAGAACTCTGGATTTCCAGGGTACCAAAGCTCCACTCTCTCATCCAAATATGGTCACTTCTCAATCTGTGATGGCACCCAGTCAGTTCAGACAAAATTGCTCATGGGATGAATAAGCCAAAAAGGTCTTCTAGCTTCCAGGTTTGCTTCTGCCTTGTGCAGCACAGAGCACATGCTCACCGT